CCTTAGCCTCCCAAAGTGTTGGGACTACAGGCATGAGCCACTGGGCTCAGCTCTGTGCTGATTTTTTAGCTTTACATAAAGAGTATACGTACATTTTCTTCTGCAATCTGCTTTTCCCACCCAACATTATTTGTGAAATTAATGTCTGTGGATTGCCTGTAACTTTAGTTCATCCATTTGTCCTGGTGTGTGATATTTTATTATGTGAAACAACCATTGTCAACAGACATTCAATTGCTTGCAGGCTTTTGCTATGACATTCTTGTCTCCTGGTGCACACGTGGGCAAGTTTTTCTAGGGCACATCCCTAGGGGTGGATTTAGTGCGTCATAGGTGTGTGGATCATCACATTTATTAAATAATGAGAAAATGTTTCCAGAAATGGCCTACTTATCCTTTGCTGGTTCTCTCACCAGCAGAGCCTAAGCAGACTTTCTATTACTCTACATCCTCAGTGACCCTTGATATACTCGAACTTTAAAAATGTTTGCCTCGCTGGATCACCTGAGGTCGGGAGTTCAAGACCAGCCTGACCAACATGGTGAAACGCTGTCTCTACTAATAATACAAAAATTAGCTGGGCATGGTGGTGCATGACTGTAATCCCAGCTACTCTGGAGGCTGAGGCAAGAGAATCACTTGAACCCAGGAGGCGGAGGTTGCGGTGAGCCAAGATCGCATCACTGCACTCTAGCCTGGGCAACAAGAGTGAAACTCCGTCTCAAAAAAAAAAAAAAGAAATACAAGTTTAACTTCCCTTACTTTTTAGCAACCCAATAATGCATTAAAAAATGTTTGTCAGACAAAGCAGGCAGCAAATTTTTAAAAAAATAAAATATTTTAAAAATTATTGTTGCCGGGCGCGGTGGCTCAAGCCTGTAATCCCAGCACTTTGGGAGGCCGAGGCGGGTGGATCACGAGGTCAAGAGATCGAGACCATCCTGGTCAGCATGGTGAAACCCCCTCTCTACTAAAAATACAAAAAATTAGCTGGGCATGGTAGTGCATGCCTGTAATCCCAGCTACTCAGGAGGCTGAGGCAGGAGAATTGCCTGAACCCAGGAGGCGGAGGTTGCGGTGAGCCGAGATCGCGCCATTGCACTCCAGCCTGGGTAACATGAGTGAAACTCCGTCTCAAAAAAAAAAAAAAAAAAAAAAAATTATTGTCATAATACTGGGATCTAGATGTGATTCAGCAGGAGTCAAGTTATCTACCCAACCACACTTTCACAGTCAGAATTTTCTATTATTTTTAAAATCATTACTGTATTTTCTCCTAGATATTTGTTCTGGATCCATTGTTTTCTATTGTTTCTCTCATCATTTACACAATTTCTCCCTTTTGTAAACTTGGAGATTTCCTCAAAATTTTCTTCTAATTAATATGCATGATTTCTAGTAAAGTCCATTCTGCTTTTTGGCGTTTTTTCAACCCAAAATTCTTGTTCTATGGATACATCTTTTTCACACCATCTTTCATTTTTCAATAATAATGCTGACTGGAATTTAAGTTTTCTTTTTCCTGCATTAACTGTTTTGTAGGGTTAATTAGTTCAGTTGTGTAGCTTGGACTAACATATATAATGCATTTTTTCATTATCTGCACATTCACTAATTATTGCATGGGTGGTCTCAGCAATTATCAGTTTTTAATTTCTCTAAAGGAGGTCCTACCCTCTCTATAGGGTACACTGCTAGTTGTCTATCAAAATTCATTCTCTCCTTCCTCCTTCATTCCTGCATAATAATAGTTATAGTTGCATACATGGCAGCCCAGCGAGGCTACATTTCTAAGTCACTTACAGTCAGGTGTGACTGTAATATCAAAGCCTTGCCAATGAAATATGAGCAAACATCAGGTGTGGTGGCTCACACCTGTAATCCCAGCACTTTGGGAGGCTGAGGTGGGAGGATCACCTAAGGTCAGGAGTTCGAGACCAGACTGGCCAAAATGGTGAAACCTCGTCTCTACTAAAAATACAAAAAAAATTAGCTGGGCATAGTGGCACACGCCTGTAGTCCCAGCTACTCAGGAGGCTGAGGCAGGAGAATTGCTTGAACCTATGAGGCAAGGGTTGCAGTGATCCAAGATTGTGCCATTGCACTCCAGCCTGGGAAAAAAAGAGCAAAACTTCATCTCAAAAAAAAGAAAGAGGCCGGGCGCAGTGGCTCAAGCCTGTAATCCCAGCACTTTGGGAGGCCGAGGCGGGTGGATCACGAGGTCAAGAGATCCAGACCATCCTGGTCAACATGGTGAAACC